CAAAGCCTCCACCTGGCTCTGGAGCTCAGAGGAATTGGGACCATGTAAGTTCATTCACCGGCCCTTTAGGAGGAGCACCTGGGTCTCCAGCAGCCTCCCTGTCACTCAGCTACAATCCCTGCTGCTTTTACAGCCTGAAGTTACAGGGACTTCTCTTCCCAGCTCTGGGACCCTGGGCTGGGGCCTGGTGTGCTGCTGGGATCCCCTGCTTCTCACGGGAGGCCATGGAGATATCACCTTCCGATTAAAGAACCACCACCCATGGGTGTTGGACCAGCCTGTTCCATGCCTCTGCCCCTCCTACCAGCTTCAATGCACGTTCTTCTTTACTTCTCTAGTTGTAAGACTTCCATTCAGTCAGATTTCAGGTGGTTCTGAATGATGGTTGTTCTCTATTTTAGTTGTAATTGTGATGTGGTTGTGGGAGGTGGTGAGTACCACTGTTTACCTACACCACCACCTTGGGTTCTCTCAATGAAAAATATATAATTTTTTTAAAATAGAAAAACTATATACTATTCTGTAAATGTGTCTCACCCCTCTCTCCAGCAAAGCAGCACAAATTCTTTTCCTTCTTCACAATTTCACAGATAGAAGAGTCCCTACCGCAGACCTTGGCAGCCTCAGCAGCAGTTTCCTTTCTTTCTTTACTAAGTTGTGAAAATTCACCTTCCACTTAAAGGAAGCACTTTCTGACTTCTCTTTGGCACGTCTGAATCACCACCATGGCTTTGGGGGCCATTACTAAGTAAAATGAGGGGGACGTGAACACAAGCCCTGTGTTCTGAGACAGTGGATGTGATACCCCCGACAGCTTGACTGACAGGCAGGGGCATTCTCAGAGCGGAGATACTGAGCAAGAGGCCGAGTCACCTCGGGGCAGAAATGGACAGTGCGCGATGTCGTCACGCTACTCAGTATGGTGCACGATTCAAACTCATGAACTGTTTATTGCTGGAATTTCCGTTTAATATTTCAGTCTGCGGTTGAGTGCAGGTACCTGGAACGGGGAGAGCCAAATCACAGATAAGGGGACCGCTGCCCGTAAAACTTTTCAGAAAAATAACCACAAACATCCCTACTGACCACTTAAATTCATAAATAACAGGAAATCTAGCTGCCATAAAAAATGAGAGCGACCAAATGTTACCTTGACATTGGGGTCGCCTTGTCTCAGTGCCGAGAACGCTCCCCGTGCCCGCACTCCCGTCCCGTGGGGCCCATCCTGCTCTCCTGACGTTTTAGATGAGAGTACCTGCATCATCCTCAGATGCCCTTCTTTATCTGTCTTCCCTGTAGGATGCAGTATAAATCCTCAACAAGAGTGTATCAAGTGCAGTGAGTGGTGCCTAACACAAGGATGAGGTACTCTACTGTCCTTTGCTGGATCAGAACACACTTCTAGGCGCGGTGTGGTCACGGGGAGCTGAAAAGGGAGCAGCATCTCGTGAAGGCAAGAGTATGAGAAAAAAGACTATTTTATCGTCAGAAACTCGGTGCAGTGGGGGGAGGACTGGCAAGAACCAGAGACGAGGCTTAGAAAAGGAAGAACTCATATATCTGACCATTTTCTCACTGTCCTACTGGTTTTTGAATCCCTAGTGCCTAGCATACAACTTATCGGTCAATAAATGTTCACTGAACAAATTTGCTAACTTGGCAAAGCACAAAAGGTAAATATAAAAGTTCCATATCCCAAAGGAAAAGTATTTCTTCAAACTGCTTCCTTCAGGTCAATATTTGCAAAATAGAAGGCTAATGTAATGACTTCCAAGAAATTAAATAAAAAATACCATGACAACACAGGTGACTGATTTTGTTCATCGAAACAGCTAAGATATTCAAATATGGTTTATGTTGCATAACATTTTATTTTCTGATAAGTTACGAATATGAACGTAAGGTAAAACTAAAATTGTTCACCCGGATGCAGTGGTTTCTAGCGTTGGTGTGTCACAGCCACCTTTTGTAGCTCATGGAGCCGATGGACACCTCAGAATAATGTTTGTTAATTATGCTAAAATCCAGCTCTAACCACAGGCTCTGGTTCTAAGCATGGATGGAGCCCAGTTTAGGAACTCCTGATAGAAGATACAGGTTAACCTGGAAAAGCAAAGAACAGATACCTTTGCCTAAATATTCTAAATATGTAGTATTCATAGTATTAAAAAAGTTCATAATAACTTGCCAGATTAAGGTTTTCCATAAAGTTATTTAAAGCTTATATAATCTTTGAAGATTTTCTCTGTGGTAGTAGTATACAGGTTGCATCCACTTCTTGCTCTTATTATGCGCACATACTGCAATGCAAAATCTAAAGTCATTACAGCGATACAAAATTAATAATATACTAACGCCACATTTGTATCATCACTAATTTCTAGCTAGCTCTCCACAGATGACATAAATGAGCACAGTCCTCCTTTCATCCAAGAGCCCGTGAGCAACATGAGGCTAAATTGACAATCTTTTGGCCCAGGCATACCAAGCAGCTCTGTGTCGGAATACTGCCAGCTGCAATGAGGAGCTACCTCCCCAGGCTCTCTGAGGTCTATAATTGAGAAACACCTTATAGTTAGAGCTGTCAAGTAAGAAGACGTGCTGGGTAGCTCAGTAAGACAGCGTCTCTGCAGGACAGCTTCATCTACCACTTTGCAGATTTCAAACGTATTTTCAGACAATTGGAGGGTAAAGCAATGTCCCCTGTGGAATGGTAGGCCAGCGAATTCCAAACAGCTCCTGCAGGCAAAATGCCTCTGACTGTGACTTGTAAATGTGGATTTCACCTTAAAATAGATCAGCTTTTCTTTTTTTTTTTTAAATATATTTTATTGATTTTTTTACAGAGAGGAAGGGAGAGAGATAGAGAGTTAGAAACATCAATGAGAGAGAAACATCGATCAGCTGCCTCCTGCACATCTCCCACTGGGGATGTGCCCGCAACCCAGGTACATGCCCTTGACCGGAATCGAACCTGGGACCTTTCAGTTCGAAGGCCGACGCTCTATCCACTGAGCCAAACCGGTTTCGGCTAGATCAGCTTTTCATAATTTAACTCTCTGTCCTGCTGAAACAAACTTCTAAGCCATATAATTCCAAAATTTATTTCCTGATACTTCAGTTTACAATATTTACTTGACACTAAATAATATAAAAGACCTTGAGTCACAGAACACACTAAATTAGGCGTTTTGTGATTTTCTTTTCTTTTTAAGGAAAAAAAGTACACTAGGTGGAAAAGGCGCCCCTGCCCCATTGAAATAGCTATCTTTTTAGAACCTACTTTTTCTACCGTCTAGAGAAACATTAATATTAATGGATTGCCTATTAGTATCAAGTTCCATGAACAATTTACCATCTACCAAAATTTATAAAAACTTTTTCAAAAATTAATAGGGAAAAAGAAATGTGTATTCTTGGGCACTTATTTTTTATACACTGTCGGAAAGAATACACATCACCACCAGTGAGTTTAATTTGTGAACAAATTTCAATAAATCACTTTCATGATTTAGGTCCAGTCATCACGAGCCTGGTCGCGCTGTCCAAACAGCTAATTTCAAAACTCTCTAAAACGTAAAACAAAAACAAAAAAAAAACCCTTGTTTTTTCAGGCTATACTTAACTCCTACCTACAGTGAGTTAGTCCATTTGGAATTCTTATGACAATGGCAGATAAATCACATACTGCTTTTGCAAAAATAAGTTTTGTTTGTTTAATTTCTCTTCAACAGTTCACAGGATCTTGCCCTAGCCTAGCCCATATCGTGGAACTTAAAAAAGAACGGGAAAATAAAACTAACCAGTTAAGTATCCATTTAGCCAAAAGTTCACTTTGTGTCGGCACTGGCGACTCCTTTTCAATCCTGAGAACCAGCCGTGCGTTTCCTTCAAGAGCCCAGAACTACAAGCGAATCGGACCCCCTCAGCACAAAGCACTTCCTAAGTTTACTGTCGAACATCCCTCAAAAAACAGCCTTGAAAATGCCCTGCGGAAAACTTCCCCTCCCCTCCCCTCCCCCCGGCACACAAACTGGTTTTTCCCAGATAAAGCAACATTTGGCAAATGGCTGGGTGACACGTTAAGCCTCGCGGTGCACTTTGCAAGCCTCGATCAGACCTCGCGCTGATGCAGAAAACTCTGCAGCGGGTAGCAAACCCCGAGGCGCTCAGAAGGCAGCTCCGGGACCCTCCCGGCACCTGCGCAGGTGCCTCCTGTGCTCCGACGTGCAAAAGGCGCTGGTAGACGTCCCATAGGTGACCGTTCAGAAGCTAAACATTAACTTTGGAAGTGACTCCTGCCCCCCCCCCAGCAACCAGCAGCCCAGGGGCTCTCGCGGGTCCGGTCACCTGTGGTCTCCACGGGAGGGGCACCCGGCCGCGCGGACCCCTTCACGGGTAGCGGCCGGGGCAGCGGCGCGCGCCCGCTCCCAGGGCCCCGAGCGCCCCCCGCGGACCCGGGTCCTCCCGGGCCACACGCCCGCCAATGCAGCAGCGCCGCCGCCGCCACCCGCGCAGCGTGGGCCCTCGGGCCCGGCCAGAGCCCGCGTGGGCCCCGGGAGTGGGTGGCGGGCGGACGGGGTCGCGGGGCTGGAGCCTGGTGTCCCAGTGGGGCCCGCGGGGTCGCAGGTCGCTGGGTCTCCATCCAGGGACACGTTCCCGAGACTTACCTGCGCTCGGCCCTTCCTCTCCCGCAGGGCGCCCTCCTCTCCCTCGCGCCAGCACCGGGCAGACACGTCGGCCCGCGCCGCCGCCACCGCCACCGCCGCGCGCGTGGAACTGGAGCACCGGCGGCCGGACTCGGCCGCCCAGAGCGCGACCCTGCGCCCCGAGCATGCGCACACGCAGGCACCCTGGGCCTGGCCGGGCCGTGACACCTGCGATCAACAGGTCCCGGCAGCCCCGCCCCTCGGCGCCGCGCGCTGGCCCCGCCCCCTCGCGCTGGCCCCGCCCCCACGCTCACCAGCCGGCCCCGCCCCTCCCCGAGTTCCTGGGTCGGACCTGCGGGGCGGTATTCCCGCGGGGGTTCGCTGGGGCGCGAGATCCCGCGAGAGCCGAGGCTGGGCTGGAGCATCTTCCAAAGGCGGGAGCCGGGCGCCGCCCTGGGTCTGGCTGCCGGCCCAGGTGGCTGCAGGTATGGCTGGCGGCGCCGGCGAGGGAGGGGCGCGCCTTCGCGTGCCGGTCGCTCTTCCGGTGCCCGCGGGGAGTGTCCTGAGCCCGGGAGGCGAGTCCCCAGCCCGGGGCTTCGGGTCGGGGTGTAGCCTGGGAGCTGTGCGTCTCCCCGGCACCGGCCCCCCTGCAGGGACGCGCTCCCCTGCAGCTGTCGGGGGGCGGGCCGTGTGCAGGTGTGCATCCCCGGCCGCGGTTCGCGGCTGTTAAAATGCAGGCTTTCACACACCTGCCGACCCGGCTCGTGGTCAGTTGTGCCAAGAACACGGTGGCTGCCTCCGTGCGTGCTTCCCAGCAGCTTTTCACTTTCTGGGGAATTAGGCTAAGCCTGGCTTCCTAATGAATTGTTTCTTGGGAATTGTAGTAAGAAAACCACAACCCGCGGGCGTCTTGAGCATGAACGCTGCCCCCGTCGGTAGTAACTTGCCTTGGAGCTCATCCCAAAGCGGGGGCAGGCGGGCACTGATGTAGGTCCAGTCGGAGGTCACTCCAGGTTTATTGGAGGAAATAGGATGATGTGGACGAACGGTACCTCGAACTGAATTGAGGATTTCTCGAGCGCTCACTGCGTTCCCTTTACTGCATTCGGCACTGAAGGAAATTCAGTGACATTTAAGACATGATTCTTGCCTTCAGGAAATTTAAAACTTTGTAAGGAGGAGGGTAAAAACTCTACATTTTAAAAATAATAATGATGACACCATGCGCTCCTCTGGGCTTCCCCTAGTGCCTCCTGGTTCGGGGACCACCTGGCTGACGCGTGTTGAATGTTCCTCCTGGCGTGCCCTCTCTAGGCAACAGCATCTTCTTTCGACCTCACACAGGTACCTTCGTGGGCCCCACATTGACATCGGCATCTACCATGTCCTACTGGGGTGCAGCGTCTCTCCCCACCCACCTGGGACCGAGCCCATTTTCATTCCCTGTTTCAGATACGGGCACCCAGTTGGCCAAGTCAGAAATCCACGAGTTCCTCTAGACCAGCGGTTCTCAACCTTCCTAATGCCGCGACCCTTTAATGCAGTTCCTCATGTTGTGGTGACCCCCAATTTCATTGTTACAAATTGAACATAATTAAGGCATAGTGATTAATCACAAAACAACATGTAATTATAGATGTGTTTTCCGATGGTCTTAGGCGACCCCTGTGAAAGGGTCATTCAACCCCCAAAGGGTCGCGACCCACAGGTTGAGAACCGCTGCTCTATACAGACAGTCCTCGGGGTTATGTCAGACTCAACGAACGTTGTTTCGTGGTGATGTCGCCATCTCCCATTTATTTAAAAAAAGAAGTTTCATCATTTCGACGAATGTGCATATGTGCTTTATGTTTTTTATTATTTATTTACCACCAGTAAAGGTCAGGAGTTGTTATCTTTCTTTAAATTTTTTTTTTTACTTTTTCACTTCATTACTGCTGTGTATGTGTGCCATGTGAGTGACGCAGGTGCTTATGTAGGTGGGTTCCGACTGACGGTGAAAATCGAATTACGTTGAGCTGTAGGAACGGATCTCCGACATCACCCAAGGACCTACTGTATTGCATTTCCTGCATTTCTTCTAGCCTGGAATCCCATCCTGTTGGCTCTTATCTCCTTCCATATCTGTCACACCCACCTGTCTTGCCGGCACTCTCCCTTCTCCGTCTATCATGTCGTCATCCTCCCTCCTGACTCACCGCCCTGGGAGTATCGAAATAGCCTCTCGTTACGTCCCACTCCAGCCCAGCCTCCATGCTGCCAATCATCTCTCTAACATGAAAATACGGTCACGAGGTTCCTCGGCCAGGACTGTGCCGGCTCCCCGTCACCAGCAGAGCCCCTCACGGTCTGCGTCCTTTCCCATTGGCTGCACACTCCTGGCTCCTGAGATCCGGCTCCGTTCCCTCCAGACCCTCCAGGTCTCTGTCCAATTCCTGTCTCCTCCCTGGGACTTTCATAACTTTCCGAGACAGATGTGCCCCTCTTTCATCATTTTGGGGCGTATTTCTATTATAACCTCGATATTGTACTATACAGTGGGGCCTTGACTTATGAGTTTAATTCATTCCGAGACCGAGCTCGTTAAGGAGCTCGTTAACTCAAATTACTCTATCAACTCAATGCAAAAAATCGGCCGAGAGACAGCTGGTATCTCAAAAAACTCGTTAGTTGGGACACTCGTAAGTCAAGGCCCCACTGTAGTTATTTCTATGCAAACATAACTGACGGAGCAGCCCCCACCTCCACTCTTAAAAAAATAATTTGAACTGTAGCTTGTAGACGCACCCTCTCTGCCTCCCTCACTGGGAGATTACGGAAGAATGAATGCCCGCGCAGTCCACCCTGCTCAGGGGTTTGACTAAACCCTGACTATACTTTTTTAATCATATCATTTCACACCTTCTGCCAGTTCTTGGCATATCTAAGTGTCGGGTTTTAAGTGATGGATGTGTCATAGGTCACAAGTAGAGTGTCAGGGGGTGAATCTGAAGCAAACATGGAGAAGAAAAGGAAAATTGTCCTGCATATTAGGACAGAAATAGGCATTTTAAAATACATTTAAAACCTACGTTGTGACATTCCAAACTGCAAGGGTGCCAGGAAACGTAGTTAGGAACGACACAACATAGTTATTTCTGGATGGACCCACATTTACAAAGAAGGATCTCTGTATATCACACTGGCATAAGATCATACAAGGGGATGGGCTTGGCAGGCCAAAGACGGCCTAATGCCATGGCAGGTGTGCCCAGTGGTTAGAGCGTCGGCCCACGCACCAAAGGGTCATGGGTTCGATTCCCCGTTAAGGGCACATACATGGGTTGCAGGTTCACTCCCTGCCCCCAGTCGATATGTCTCTCTCACATCAGTGGTTCTCTCCCTCCCTCTTCCCTCCCTTCCACTCTCTCTGAAAAAAGAAATGGAAAAGAATATCCTCTGATGAGGGTTTTTAAAGAAAAGGACCCCCTCATTGTTCAGCTGAGGCCTAGCCAGGGTTTGCATCACCTGCACATCACACTGATGCACCTGTTGCCCCTCTTCTGGAGCGAAGGTAACTCAGACTCCGGGAAGTGATGAGTAGCAGGTGCAGTGATGAGTAATTCCAGGAGGCAATCCCCAGCTCCAGGCGGGGTGCGCCGGGACTGAGCTGGGCGGGGTGGAGCGACCCACGGCTGGAGAAGCAGCCGTCGAATGGCTGACTCGGATCAGATACTAGACAAACTGCTGCTGACACGCTTTATTTCCTTGCTAGCTAAGGTCCTGGAGAGCTGAGACCGTACTTTTGCATTGTTTTATTTCCAGGGCCCAGCACAGTGCTTGGCACAGATGCTTAACAAGTTCGTGCTCAGCAGATGGAGTGAAGAATTAGGAGTTTTGTTGATTTTTTTAGAGAATAGAGACATCTGTGTGGAACAGAATTGTTGGGGGGTGGAAGGGGGATTTCTGTGGGAGATCAAGCATGAGCCTCAGCCTGCAGGGTTCATGGTGGTTGTGGTTCGAGGGGCATTAGGGAAGAGACACGGCTACTTCAAGAGCAAATTTTTAGAAACAGGATAAACAAGGCCAGTGCAGGGGCTATGACAGAAGCCTCTGTGTGTTCTAGAACAAGATGATTACTTTGGAATTATATACAGAAGATTCGTAGGGGAAATTATAGCTAAGCAGGAAGATGAGCTAAACAGAGCGATTCCAGAAAA